TTTCAGTGAGTGAAACCAGCTTGAAGTTACTGAAAAATCAACCATTTGGAAACTTTTTTTTTCACTCCTGACCTGCAAGAAGGGGCTGTAAGTGAGAAAAGCTTTTCAAACTTTTGCTGGAGCTTCATTTTCTTTTCTAAAAACTTTTTTATTCCTTCCTGTAGCTCAAAGTCTTGGATGTGAAGAGGTCAACATAAAAACAAACAGCCATTATAGAAAGGCAGGGAGCCCCTGTTAACATTCTCTTTGTGAGCCACATTCATGCAGCCAGTTTGCCCTTAGAACCTCTTATGTAAAGAATCCTACCGTAAACAGCAGGCTTTCTGCTAATTTTGAATATAAATATTTACCCCGTTACACTATATTATTGTTGTATTCTGGAAAACAAACTGTCTTCCAATTTCCATTCTGTTAAAGTTTTATTTCTCTGTATTTTCAGTATCTAGTCCAACCAATAGTACATCAGCTAGGACCTCTAAAATATGGACTGGATTATTCAAAACTACATAATGGATAACAAAATCTAAGAATCTATTGTAGGATTTCTAGAAGTTCTAACACTAATAATTTCAGAGAAAAATTCTATGTTGTTATAACTCATATTATTCAAATTTCTTCAAAAATACGTTATAGATACCAAATGTTATAGATACCAAATATTTAAATAGTTGTAAATTTTGACTTGTTTGAACGGCAATTGTCTAAGTGACACAGTGACACCTACAGTACAAGAGTAAAGAGGTCAGACATAATGTTTGGAGATGTTGAAAAAAGTCAGATATAAATAAAACAACACATTTCCATTTAGAGCTAAAAATGTTAGTCACAGTTCTAACATATTAACCTTTTGTTGCTAAAAACATCAGCACCTTTAACAGCTTTGTATATTTAGTGAAATCTGGGGAGGGAGAGTAATTTAAATTACTCTCCTATAAAGCAATAACTTATAATAGCAGTTTACTAATTTGTATTTGAGCTCTGTTTATGAACAAATATTTTTACATTTCCTGTCTATGTAACATCTTTTAATAAAAAAAAACACGGTGGACTGCTTTGGCACCCCGACCAAGAATTTTTGGGGTAAACCCTGATAAGCAGCTCCTAAAAATTAACCTTAGTTTCTTCTATGTACTACGTATGCTCTCTGACTCTCAAATATTTAACGCACAGAAGAGACAGCAATAGGGTTGTCATCATAATACAGGTATGCTAAAAATTAATGTTAAGCTTCTTGAACATAACTCCAACAAAACAGCATATTTTATTTACCTTTTAGAGAAGACAGAGTAAGAACAAGTGCTAAGTGACAAACACTTACCTTGGCAGCTTCTAGCATTTCTTGTGTTTCTTCCTGCGAGTGGCCAATAAAAACACCACCAATCTGGTAAGGGACCAATAAGGAGTCGTCATCCAACATCATAAGCTCATCGCTGGCGTCCTGCAGGTTCTGCAGTGTTTTCTGCACAGTGATATTGGCAGACAGTTACGCTGTGGGCGATTTAACTGTTGGCATTAATTCACCAGCTCAAAAACCTTTCAGGATGATGTAAAACTCCTTAATAAAAATAAGAAAAACCTACCACTATTAATGATATTTATACACAAATAAATATTACTATACATAATGAAGTAATATTTACATTAGATACGTTTGATATGATCAAAATGTTGTCAATAAATGTTATAAAGTGTACCAGCTGGTATCTATTAATATTGCAAACAAATACATTAATCTATATTTCAAACATTAATGTAAAAATATAACAATTCTACCGCAAATCCTTTCTTGCAGCAACATAAAGACTTTATAAACATCACTGCTCCCAAATGACTCAAACTCATAAAGTGTTTACATTCCTGCTATTATTATTAGTTTTCTCATTTCAAATAATTGTCTTGCTATCATTTGCATGTTTTCTTCACCTCTTTTTTATACATATGCACATTTTGTGAACCTTAAATTATCCTATGCAATTTAAAAATGACTGAGAAGTCGTAATTTCTTATGTTGTAAATGTCTCTCTTCTGCAAAGTCTTTTAAACTAGTTTATATATTTTCGTCCTTTGTGAATTCCCACTGTGTCAGGTGTTTAATTTGAATTAAACACCACAACGTTCTGGTATGCGTCATGACAGCAGCAATATTACTTTATGTTACAGTAGTTTGAGACATGCATCTCTGGTCATCTCAGTATAGGTCAGTCTTTATGTTCACAATATTGTGGTTTTAAAATCGTTGTGCTACTTACTTTCTTCGACTCTATTTCGTTTTTGAGTTCCCCCATCCGACTCGTGTTTCTGGCAAATTTATTGATCTTCTGTTGGTCTTCAAAAGTGACGACAACGTCTTCAACCGCCTGTAACCAAGCTCCTGTTAGCAGGTTCACCAAATATATACGTCAAATATGGCAGATAGAACCACAAATCTGTGTCCTGTTGGCTTTTACTGTTCTTGTCTGAATTGTGATAACATTCGTCACATCTGAAGACCTGAACTACAAGAATAAGAGCTAGCTTCCTGGCTAGCTCATTGCACGAGGATTTGACATGAATATAAAAATGCTCCTGATATAAATAATTCTGACTTCTATGTCGCCAACACCTCAACTCTTTCACTTATTCCGCAAAAACATACTGTGAATAAATGTCCAAGAAACAATAGAATTTCTTTAAAACATCACTTACTACAGGTCCCTTCATGGTGGCGGCTGCCATCTTGACTTCTTTTATTTTTGAACAGCGGTGCTCAGCAGAACACAATTGCAGCACCGCCCTCTACCGGGAGACTAATACATTGCACTCGAATACACATTTTCTCAAACATACTGCACTCATACACATTTATACCCATATAGATATGCATGACGGAGGTGAGTAGTAACGAGTTCTATTTCCTCGGTTAAATTTCTTAAAAAACCTTTTTGAAAAAGAATTACCTTTAGGAGTAGTTATATTACACCATATGTTTCCTTAAGTTTTTGTAAGGACTCTTGCAACCAAATTTGGGACTGCTTGGGATAGTTAAGCTATCAGATTCAGCAGGACAGAATAAATGAAATAAACACCACACGTTTACTATGTTATTGCTTTTGTATTTAAATGCTTTAAATACAAATTCTATATCTGAACTCCAGAAAACCTTAATACAAAACAAACCATTTCTATTTGAATAAAAAGGAATAGAGAGTAATTTTTTTATATACACTGACTGAAATCTTTATTTGCTGCGCCATGTCATGCAAAACCTGCTACTTTGTAACTGTAGTAATCAATACACATCTTTTCTGTTTATCCGTTTGTGATTCTCTTTAGGAATTCACCACAGCATTGCACAGAGCTATTGTTTTTTCTATCTTTAACTATCTTTAACTCTTATGCATTTTCAGTTTAAGCAGCCAAATATTTAGGAATAATTAGCTGTCTCGAACAACAACAATGAGAAAGTCCAAGAACTGAAATAAACAGACAAAAGATAAGAAAACATTTAGTGACTATTATGCCTTTTTTCTTCACTGCATTGTCTATAACGAAAATTACATTCTTACATTAAATACACATTGCACTTACATGCTTTGCTCAAACATTTTAAACAACATGTTAACATATAACAATTATCACAACACCAGAATCTGCAGACTTTCCAAAGCAGATCCAACATTAACCGGAACTGCTGCTTTGCTCGTATTTGGATAGCAAACAGTACTGCACCCAAGGTCAAATATTTGCTGAACACATCTGCGAGGTAAGAGCACCATTAATCTAATTGTGTGCAACACCACAATAAACTATTCCACACAAAGATTTAGGACAGTCATGAGAACCTTTGCAAATATCCCAGTTTTCTATCTGAAAATCAATGGCCTGTTTGTGAATGTCTCTGCCTCCAATAAAACCAGTAGGCTGCTATGCGTTGGTATGAAATGAAGCGTTTGCATGAAGTCCACTGGCCAAACAGGGGAATCCAACTCCCACCTTAGTGTGCAGACCATAGCCTACAATTGAGGCATTGTTTTTGTGGAGGACAAGGGTGATCAAAAGAATTTCAATTCAATAAGTAATGCATCTTTAAAAATATACAAACTCTTAATTAGCTGGTGTAAGGCTAAGTATAACCAGACCCACTGAAACAGAGTGAATTTTTGATATCATATTTAACTAAACAAATTGAGGAGTATAATGTATGATTTAATGGTAGAGTTGTTGTGAAAAGAACGCAGATGCTCTCAGTTCAGTTCAAGACTTTTATGTATCTAGAAAGTTAAAGTGAGCAGAAGTGCAGAATCTCTGCAGATAAATAAGTAAAAATTCAAGGGTTGATTAATCATTAATCCTATGCAAATAAGAAACAAAATATGCCAATAATGAGTCTCCTTTAAAAATGAAGAAAATTAAGCAATATTAGGGTAAACATTTATATATATATATATATATATATATATATATATATATATATATATATATATATATATATATATAGGATGTATAGGATGATATATAGGATGAAATCATCCTATATATCATCCTATACATCCTATATATATATATATATATATATATATATATATATATATATATATAATATATATATATATATATATATATATATATATATATCTATATATATATATATATATATATATATATATATATATATATATATATATATATATATTTAAAAAGTTACTAATGGATGCATGCCAAAACAACATCCTTCATTCATATCCTGTTATTCTGGGTGACAGTCATCAACAACCTGTCCTGCACTGCCTCATTTTTGTGCAGTAGACCTTAAAACTCAATGAAAATGTGTTTGTGTTATTTCCCCCCCAGTAAACTCACTACAAAATCTGCAATGTTTTTTAACGTGGAGATCACCAAACTTTCAGATGGATTAAGATGTTTTTTTTACTGTAGGAAATCCAGCTGACTGCTTCAAAACAGTCACACCCATTTAAAAGCATACATAAAACAGTCTGTCAATAATAGCCTTTATACGCAGGCAGCAAGACTGGAGGAGGAGTGCATCCATCTCTCTGACAGGCATATATTCTTTTTTTTCTGGAGTCATTTGATCTACAGGAGTGTCACAAGGTAAAGTATTTGACTAAACATACTCACAATACTCATTAATTGTATTTTTAATGATTCAAATATTTGATTTCTCTACTTGTTTTAACATTTCATATCCAAAAGTTTTCTTATTGTGCTGGATGTGTTTTAGAAGAAAGGGTGGCAAACTCAGCCTGGGACCATCATGGGAAATGAACAGTCAGCTTCTGAAGAAGTAACTGAGGTAAAAATCCTACATAATAACTACTAAACCTGGACAACAAATCTTGAACTTTACAAATAACTGCACATCAGCAGCAGAATGCACAGGGGAGAACAGTATGCCTTAAAACTAGTGATTATGATGTAGGAACATTTTTTTTTATTTTTTTAAGTTTATAGAGATGCTTTGTTTTTCTTATTTGTCCATAGAATGGGATAATTCCAGAAAAACATGAAAATGGATCAGTGAATGGCATCTCTGCAAGCATCACACTCAATGGATTGGAGGCTGATGGTGACTTTTCTCCCTCCTTTTTATTTCTTACTTGAAATAGACCTCGGTTTACTGGCAGAATGGATAAAGCTATGCGCTGAAAATATTTACCCTTCTTATTTTCACCTTTCACCAAATTCCACTTTCTGGGAAAATATTACAGGCTAAATCGGCTGACCTTTTAAATGTCCCTGTTTGACTTACCATTCAGACTCATAAGTCTCTGCAAATACAGAGACTCCCAACTGGGTCCTGTGTCGGATCTCCTAATGTAAACTCGGGGCGTAGTCTCAGGAACTCTGACAAGGAGCGATTATTTGATCTGTCACAGTGAGGTTCGTGTCGCTGCAGCGACAGCAGTGCTGAGCAATTCCCACCGGCTCTTGAGTTTGTATAAGAGCTGGAATGTTGACCCTGGAGATAAAGATGCCACTTTCTTGCACTGTCGAGCCCAGGTTTACTTCATGACGAATTAGACATTAGGATATCAATTAAATGTTGCATGCAAGTGGATTAAAATCCTAATGTGCATTGATGCCTAGCAGAAACAGCTGTGTAATTATTAAAAAAGATCATCTCAGACTCCATATTTACACTAAACAGGACTTTCGTAGAGTCTGTTTAAGTGATATTTTCAACAATAAATCATCATTGTGTTTGGTATTTTGTTTTTTACAGTCAAGAGTGACGTCACAGTTCATCAGAACGGCAAGCTGCAGTCTCCAAAACTTGAGACAAAAGCTGAACTGGATAATGTGACACCTGAACCAGAGCTAGAACCGGCTCCGACTGAAAGTGTGTCTGAAACCACTGACTCTCCACCAACTGACACGGAACCAGTCAAGAAACACAAAGAGAAAAGTCATGGTTTTGGCAAATTCTTCAAAAAGAAAGACCGTAAAGTGGAAGAGAAAACTGAGGTTCTGGAAAAGGAAACCATCTCCAGTGAGGAGCAACTGGATGCAAGTCAGCTTCACATTGAGCCTCAGCAGGTGAGTGCAAGAGTCCACAATTTTTTACACTATTTTTTAAAATTTTTTAATACAACAATGTATTTAATCATCATCAACACATCCTACGCACAATTATGAAACAGCTACAAGCATTTTGTGCTAAAGGTCTGCAAATCTAGTCTTTAATTTCAGTACAAAAATACACTTTAGCAAAACAATTTAAAAATCCAAAAAACAAAACAAAATAGGAAATCGTATATATTCTCATCTTCTATACTGTATATCACAATATGCATATTTCATTACATTGGTATTTCTCTTAGTTTTGATACATTTATTATGTAAATGAAAACATTTTTATGCCTGAAATCATTAAGATATTTACTGTAATGAATGCATATAATTTCATATACACAGCGTAATGCAAATTCTAGAAATGTGTTGTATTTACAATTATATTATAATGTCAAAATATACAACAGCAAACACATTACACATAATTTAAATTAGCAATAAAAGCTGGAAAACATATATTTTATTTATTGTTTATTTATTATTTTAAATACCAAAAATGTATGATTCAATATCTGGTCAAGAAAGCATTGTTTGGATGCAAACCAACAATTTTTGTGCTAAGATATAATAGAAATAAAAAAATTAAAAAACAAATATAAAATGCCAAGATTCATATACACATATGAATTTATCTGTAACCAGATTTCAGATTCATCAACTAGAACGGTTAACGAACAGAAAAAAATATATTTCTAAATTGCATAAAGGTGTGTTTTATTGCCTCAGTGCTCACTGTGATAAACTGATGATTGGTCCATGGTGTAGAACAGATACAACTCACAAGTATAGTTGCAGAAAAAGTACAGATGCTATAGTAACTTCTGCTTTCTTAATTCCTTACTATTTATTAATTCTGGCATGAAATATATATCTGCTGTATCTAAATACTAATCCTGACTTTTATAACAAATGATTCAAGCTGGAATAAAGGTTACATGAGCGTAAAACTGTAAACCAATTCAAGAATGCTAAAATTATAAAGCATTAGCCTCAGAATTTTTTCATAACTTGGAATTAGTCCAGTTCAAAGTGCCTATGCTGTCCATAAAACACAATGGACAGCATTAAACATGCTTTCCATTGTGCCATTATCAAAATACCATTTCGATACTTCAAAATCATCAAGCAAATATACATCAAATACATTGATCAGTGTTCTAGTTATTATGAATGATATGCATCTCTAAGCATGTGGGTTTTTATCCCTGATTTTCAGGAACTGTTTCAGATGTTTGTCATTTTCTGGAAGTTTGTTCCAGATTAGAAGAGCATAAGAGTTGAACGCTGCTTTTCCATGTTTGGTTATATGGTTCTGAGGATATTCCCCACGGCCATTTTGGCTGTGGAAATAAAACGGCAAAAAGTTCAATTTATTGGCAACAACAAATGAGCCTATGAAGAACTCAAAGGCAGAATTTAAGGTTTCTGGATGATTTATTTGAACTTACAAAAACTAAAGAGCCTCATTGAGATACCTCCTATGAAGCCCAAAAGTTCTTAAGAAATCTGAGCTCCATTAACTTATGTACTGGATCAGAAAAGACACAGCTAGGTTTTACTTCCTGTGTGCATCAGTGACCCAGTCTGCCACTGTTCCAGACAAAGATAATCAGTGTTATTGGAGACCAATATGCTTCTAATAGCCCACACGATACACTACGTTATCTAACATTAGCTTTTTAGCAAACTTTAACATACACACAGTTTCAACTTGATGGCCAGCCTGTTGAAACTGTGGCTAATTTTAAATACCTAGCATCATTCCTAGACAGTGTACTCACAAATAATGCTTTTTTCACAAATTATATTTAAAAAAAAAATAAAATATACAAAAAATATTGTACAAACATTACTTAAAAAGAATAAATAAATAAATAAATTACTTAAACATTGCATAATTGTGGTTGCATTACAAGATCTAAGTTGTGAAATTCAAACAACTGCAAAATAGAAGTAATTTTAAATTATATCAACCGACCATATGGACATTGCAAGACAGTTGGTTTTCCTGACATCTCACAAGGCATAACTCTCACACATTGTTGAATATCAATGAGTGAGGGGTGGGACACACACATTAATAAAAGGCCTGATTGTTGACAATGCCCCGAGTAGGCAGAGGCATGGTTGGAATTGTGCTCCCATCTCAATGCTGCGATTAAGACACTCACTGCTTGCATATCAGCTCTGCTGCTCCAACATCCTCCTCAAAGGCCCATTCTCTCTGGCGGCATATAGGAGACGGCAAACGTAAAGCAAGAGTCGGAACCTGTGACCGAGCCAGAGGTCGGAGCGACTACAGAGTCGAGTCCAGAGGAACAGACAGTTCCTGAAAGCGAGAACAGAAACGAACAACCTGAGGAGAATCCAGTTATGAACTTCTTCAAAACACTAGTAAGTGACACTGCATGAGAATTTAGGACACGTTTAAACACTGTTGAAATGTCTAGTTGTTTGTATTGTGAAGGAAAGGTGTATTAATATTAAAATCAAGAATCTAATCTTGTGAAACTGAAAACAAAAAGTATGTAAATTATATAGATACGTACATATGAAATATAAAAATTATATACTTTTTTTTCAAATAATTACAATCCGAATGTCTGTAAAAGCTCTAACATCAGCATTTCACTGTAAATGAAATTATGATGACTGCCTGAGGGAAATCCTACAACAAGCAGCCATTGTATTTCCTCTTCATCATGCTGTCTTTTGGATGCATGGTGTTTTAAAGAGTTACCACTACCCCAGCCCCATGCTAATCAAGTCTTTGAACATGCGGGAATGTGGTGGCCTTTTGTTCATCCCATAGGGTGAGCTCACAAGAGAGGCCTGTCCCGCTGGAAGTTGAGATTTGTGCAGATAGTGCGCGGGCAGGCCTACGCCATCTCCGGAGCACAATGGCCGTCACAATGACAGCACATGTACTGTATGCGCTCTGTCAGAGACCTCAGTGTGCACTCTGTCTGCCTCGGTTAGCTCCTCATAAAGGCTGAATTCATTAAAAAAGGCTTTGGTTTTATAGAAATAATAGCTAGTTTTGCCAGCTGGTGCAGCATCAACCACATCCTCTGACTGGGAGAGTTTTTTTATGATGCTTAAATTCTTGATAAATTGGACAGAGTCCAATTCAAAGTACCTCACACCATAAATACACAATGTAAATGTGTTCTGATGTGTGTTGATATCAACACATCAGTTCTGATGTGTGTTGATATCAGAACACATTTACACTTGAAATATTTTTCTGGTTAATTTTTTTTTTTCCACTCTGTTCTATCACAGGTTACTCCCACAAAAACACCTAAAAAGGAAACAGCTGCTCCCGATACTGCAAAAGATCAGGTGAACAGATGTTCAGTGCTGAATTTATTATTGACCCTCTTTCCTTTTCTTACAAGTGCTGATTATCCCACCACATTTCTATTCCCAAAGGTGTTAGAAGTGATCGCAAAATGCAGAGGGCTAATTAGCAAGCTTTCTACAATTTGAGCTTCAAATTGTAGTTAGATACAGTATATTTCTATTTTTGGCCCTCCTTTTGAAATAATGATGTCTTGTTTCCTAAAAATGGGGCAAATTTGTTACTTATAGTGGTGAATAATGAGCTTTTTTGCTGATTTTTATTTGCTTCTTTTAACCGTGTATTTCTAACTGCTTCCTTTTTTTGTTGCAAAATAGTCCCAGAAGGAGACCGCACCTGCAGAACCCACCACTGTGAGCATAGAACCCAATGCAGCATCTTAAAGTTCAAAAGAAACCACCTTCAAAATTTACTCTATGTGCCAATTTTACAGAAATAAGACTGTTTAATCATTTAAAGTAGACAAAAATCTAACCTAAGCTTGCTGTTTGAAAATATGCTCGTTGGTAAACATTATTGTATTGTTACCTTCGCATACATTTGTCATTTTTCTGTTTTGAATAGGTTGCACAGACATTAGAACAGTCTGCGGCACCCAAAGGAATGCCTGCTCCACCCCCGCCACCCCCAGAGCCTCCGAGACTGGAGACCAAAGGAGAACCAGCTGCCAAAGCTGCAAAGCCAACACAAAAAGAAGAACCAAAAACTTCTGCAAAAGAACCCGAGTCTGCAAAAGGAAAATCCACAAAAGATGCTTTGAGTAAATTCTTCCGACCAAAGGTAAAGAAATGTGACAAGTTCAGCTGCACTGCATTCTATAGTGTAAAAGATGTACTGATATAAGGCGAGAAGGGTCAAGGAGAAGAGTTTCAGCTGGCAAAGCCAATCGTACAGAGGTGGTACAGTAGATTATTATATCCTCACACTGACCATGACTCATCTGGCTCCCAATTGGACAGAAGCTGGTTTGTCCGGGAGTGGCAGAAAGATGCCAAATGTTGTATCTTAACTGACGCAGCAGTTGAGTAAAGTTGCCTCTTTCATGAAATGAAATATTTTCAGAGGAATTGCAAATAGTAAGCATAAAAATGCTTACATGGCTAAAAAAATCCATGCAGCATCTCCTTTAATCATTTTATTGTATCAATATAAACTACTGCCTATTAAGTATTATGGTGAATAACCATAAATACTCATGTTCAGATTTCCATCCAGGTGAGCAGATAAAGTAGAAAAGGTTAGCGTAGCCATGATCTCTGTATTCTTTTAGATTCTGTTAACGACAAACCTTTTGAAGGTTTGGGTTGTTCTGGCATAAGACATAAATGACTCACAACTTAATTATATTGACCTGATCTGCAAGATTTCAACCTCAGCAACTTCAGAGTCAACCAGTGATTTCGCCCCTCTCTGTTAGGGCAATGCAAATATTGCATGTCTCACCTGTAGTGCAGTCTTTTTACTCCCTGCAGTAGCTTACTTAGTATTAAAATTGCTTATGTGAAAGAAGCAGGGCAACCTATAAAATTTAACAAAACTGATGCATGTAATGTAAAAAAAAAAATTCTAATTTTCTTAGTTATGTACTGTATTGTAAAAAATAGAATTTCTGGTGACGACTAATTTAATACAGAGCCTCTTTTATTCATGAAATAAATGCCTTTACATCAGGCCATTTTGAAGGTTTTTTGATGTTTGATCTTCAGACATTTTGTTTGATATGTTTCAGTTATTTGAAGGACCACTAAAGTCACAAAAAAATATTTATTCTAAAGACTAAAAAATGAATGTTAGTTAAAATGTTAAAATTCAGCTCTTCACAATGCCTCTGGCTGTGAATAAATCACTAATCATCAAGTCCCACTCAGATGTCAGCTATGAAAAATGAAGGCCGGCATTCCAGAGACAGGAGACACAGCAGTGACATTTTGCTGTGCATTGAATTTGTGTTGTGCATCTCAAAGTCAAAAAGCCAAAACAGATTGAAGGTTTGTAAAATTTGTCAAAAAATACAATTGGATTACACCTCACTCAGTGACAGTCTGTTCTCTTACTACATTTTAAAACAAAATGTTTAAATTTTGTTTTAAATGTAAACATCACCCCAACTGACCATCCCACAGTGGAATTTATCTGGTCCTTCTAAAGTGTGAATGACTAGAATAAAAACAGATTTTTACAGTAAATCCTACGACCAACTGATATCGTATTCTCTTCATCACATCCTCCAGCCATAGCACTTGCTTGCCCTTTCATAAATCAAGTGTTATGGCTCTGTCACTACCTCGTTTCACAAGGAGTGCCAAGAGCAACACGTTTACAAGAAACTTCATGTCACTTTGATAGTTTTAAAACTCACAGAGACAGCCAGAAGGCGCCCAAGTCTCAGCTATTCGTGTTTTGCTAAAGGCATCAAGGAGATCCCTAACAATGTTCTGGTAACACGGGTAAACTCTTTTATGCATATAAAAAGGCGGCTAAATTCTTTTTTTTTAATCTTCAGTAACAAAACTTGTTTACTTTCCACTCTTTGAGATATGCAGGGTTAGTTAGAATGAGAAAAGGGACCATTAACTTAGACCAATAAAATGTATTAAGCTCTAATTATAAAAATGTTTTTCGATAAAGTGATGAGGCACTGTGTGAATCTTTTGGTCCCAAAGGTTATAGCTTGATTGAAAATTAGTATTTGCACCAGGTGTTGTATTCCTGTGAATTGGCATTAGGGCCAGAAGTGAAAAATGGTGACGATTACCGGAAAGTGAGGTCTAATGTAGGATTGGATGTAAATTCAGCTATTCGTATATCCACATGCATTTAAATTGAATGCCATTGGCAAATGTGTCTTTTTAATGGAAGATAAAGCTTTCTTATCACTTTAAGATTTCACTAATAATTCCTTCACTGTCCTGCAGACTATCAAGGAGGAAACACAAGCTATTGAAGTAGAGGTACAGCCAGTTGTAGAAGTACAGGTAACTTAAGAGACTGGTATAAAATTAATAAAAATCTGTATATTAGAGTGAATACCTCACTGAAATGAAATCATCCTTTAATTAAGGGTACTTAAATTTTTATCTTAATATAAATGGTTCAGAATATAAAAAAAGTTTTACTCTGCAGGAGACAGCAGTGGAGGCACCAGAGCATGTTGTAGAAGTGCAGGTAAACAAAAAAAGTTTTCAATTTTGGCTTTTCATTCTCTTTTTGATAGTTGAATAAAAATTTCTTTAATTTTCTTAAATCTTCTGGTGCAAAAGTTATATTATATTTTCTTATAAAACTGGATATAAGGTTGAATCTCAGCAAGCTGCTGTGGAAGTGAGCAACCATGTTGGACAAGAGGAGGTAAATATGCAATATGGCAACCAGAATATTAGTTCTTTTCACTCTTCCATTCTTCAGGCATCTTTGAAATTATTTTAATCAATGTTTTCTCACTGGCAACCCTGTTTCCAGAAAGCTGCAGTGGTTTAAAGAAATGAAAATGAATGTAGTGATTAGAAAATCAGATTGGAGTAAAAATGAAACAAAAACACCCACACTTGTTTTCTACCGCATTGGGGAAGAGTGTGAGAAAATAACGGAAAAAATGCATGAAGAAAAATCAGAAAACTCTCTGTGAAAGGTTGAAAAACATTTTATACTTCTGAACATAAAACCATGTTGAAAAGCACCCCACAAACACAGAAATGCTTAAAAAGTTAGCCAAAGAAAATTTCACCCCCAGGTGGTTTTTAAGGCACCTCAGGAACTTTTCAACTTTTAGAGTCAAAGGTAGTAATGAGTTAACCTAAGAAGATCCCATTTTCAGCAAGGTTCATGTTTATTCCAGAAAGACCAGATTTTGCACATTGTCTCACATCCATTTTAGGCAGGAAACCAGCCCAGATACCAAATGCAACCTTTTAAACACACACACTGCACACAGAAACTATATTTATTATGTTTTTGAATTTGTTGTTTATTGGTGCTCTCAAACTGGAGCCATCAGTGGAGAAAATGGTACAAATAATTTCAGCAAAACCATCATTTTTGAGAGTTTCAGACATTGTTGACTGAGATTTACTGTTACAATAAATCTAAGTTCTTATGATTATAAGAAGTATTTCACTAACTATAAATCCCCATCCTTTGCTCCCAAATATTGAGAAGTGTTATTAAACAAAACAAAATTATTTTTAAAATATTTACTTGATTGAACTGAACTCACAAAAAATGGAAAAGTTGAAGAGACTACTACTTGATGTCTTTAAAAGACTACATCTGGTTGAAAGATGGTGAAAACTGATCATATCAGGTAACCAAGCCTGACTTTCAACATCTTAGTTCAGGCTAAAACAAATTTTGATTTTTTATGTTTTGTTTTGGACTGTTTAAAGAGAAAGCTCTGCAGTGTTTTCAATTAAATCTTCTAGACATTTTCCAGAAACAAGGTTGCATGGGGTCTTATTTCCTTGGTTTGGGATAACACAGAATCACTCTTTCACACTGAACCCGTTCCACCATGACAATTATGTAAAACTGCAAAATTGGTGGAAGAAATACCACAGCTAAGAGAAGAAGCTAAATGAAACCATTGGAGAGTTGAAGATTATGGAAATTAATTTGATTCGGGTTTTTTTCCCCCAAAAAATCTATTTGCATAAAAAAAATTTTGTTTGTTTCTAGTGTTACATTGATTCATTATAACTTAAGCCACAGTTGGAACCTGACTGCACATCTGCTCTTTAGCAATCTTTACCTGTTGCAGCAAGTCCAAAACTCAGCAGCTTTTGTGTTTTTGATGCAAAATCTTGTCATATTTTTCTTTTTAATTATTAATATTTATCAGACCCAAATTAAAGGCCAAATTAGGTGATGTGTTAAAATCATCTTCTTGTATTTTATTAAAAAGTACAGTAAATTTTGGAAAAACACATTTGTCTCCCAAAAATCTTCAACTTTCTTGATAATTCTTTGGAGGTGGAGAATCTCTGTGTCCTCTGAGACTGACATTTTCTATTTTCTGGGATTCCTTCCTACATCGGCTGTTAAAAGCACCAATTCTTGTTGTTGTCATAACAGATTGTTTGGGTTTCTTTCTTCCGTCAGGAACTTTTTCCTTCCCTTTCCCGTTTTTTCTGATTGGAATTCTTCCTCTCTCCTGTCACAGGTGGCGGCTCTGGTTTTCACTCTGTCAGTTACACTGACAGCCGTGCTCTTGGGTTTGTGTACGTCTCATGACTTGTGTTTTTCCTCTGTGTTGTTTTGACAATAGAAGGTGGATCCTTCCAAAGCTGGCACACTGGAGGCAGCAGCGAAGCCGGAACCACCTCCACCAGTTCAGGAGGAAAAGAAACTAACCTCCAAACCATCTTTCATGTCTCTCTTCAAGCCCAAAGTAAGAACTGATTCACTTCAGATTTTCCCTCTTCCCCTTAAAATCTTTGAATATCTATAGGCATGCGTTGTGATAAAATCACCTGTCAGCGAGTAACAGATTGATGTGAACTTGAGGTACTGTTAGATACCATGACCACAAAAGTCCAAGCAGCCTCCACAAGTGGAGTTCGGCTCCTCAAGAAATCAACTGGCCTGGTAAATAGAATCATCTCTTGTGTGAATAGATGCATTATTAACCAGAATAATGCCATCTGAGATTAAAACATGCTCTAAACAGCTCATTTGCCCAACGCGTCTCTTCGTTTGCTGTCATATTCAAAAATCATAACAATTTCTCAGACCGTGTGTGCTCGTCTTTCATAATGCAAGCTGTGTCCTAACAGCAGGTGTGCATCTTTATGTCGGTTCAAATGTCCCCTCGGAGTTCAAACTCCGAGCAGCAATAACAGCCACTTTACCCTAAACTGATACTGGAGCAGAACAGCTAAACTTTATGCTTTTCTTTTAGGCTGCTGACCCCAAACAGACAACTCCCACCCCGCCCGCTCCCGCAGAGTCGCCTCAGCCTGCTAAAGCCAAGGAGGAACCCAAAGCTGTGGCCAAGTCAGAGGCAGTTGTAGATAGCAAGCTGGTGGCAGCCGCCTCTCCGGCTGGAGACGATGCTGCGAGTCAGCCCAAAAAACTGGAGAAGAGGAACTCCATCCAGCTGTTCTTCAAAAATCTGGTAAGAGGAGATTATTATTATTAAAGCAGCACTTGAGGTCTAGTGACATGTTTAAGTTGTGTGCAACTTACTTCTATTTAATTCAGTTCAGTTTATTTATTAAAAAAAAAAAAAAAAAACGTTTATTTTAGGCAGTGGGATTCAAACGTTTTGCATTGGGCTCCAAAACCTTGCAAATCTAAACTACTGGTCGGCCACAAAATATTTATCTAGTTTTACCTGCTCAACAATAAACACGCTTTTGTTAAATCCATATATCATTAAAGATCCAAGACATAAGAAAGGCTTTGTATGAGTATAAAAAGGGAAAAAAGAGACAATTTCAAAATTGGTCAGGTCATCAATTGTTTTCTATTTTGTTTGCCAAATTTTTATTTTGCTTAACTTGTCGTCAGAGGCTAAACAAAAACATTTCGAGGGACACAAAAGGTCCCCGGTCCACACTTTGGACACCCTGACTTAGAGAAGCCAAGCAAATTTTATAAATTCATTGACTTGCAGCATTCACTTCCATGCAAACATGCAACCTGAAGAAGTTGCATGTTTGTAGTCTAGATAAAAGAACATTCACCCTTTTTCAATCAGGACATAATCCTAACTGAATATTTAATCTTTACTGTTTTAGAAAATTATTGAGATCAGTCTAAAGTACTGAGAATCATGTAACAGATTTCATAGCGTTATTGGAACAAAACTAATTTACTGCTAAAATTGGATTTAAACGTAAAACAGCAGCCATGTGTTCAATCAACTGATCTTTGTTTCATGTGCCAACAGCCTTGAAAAAAGAAAGCCTTTTGCAGGTCTGGAACATACAGATGTGTTCAGTCACAATCCCGGAAAGGAAAGTCAACAGCAGTGAGATCAGAAATATAATTGTTGCTCCCCATTAATTTGGTAAGAGCTATAATGTAATTTCCAATTAGTTCAGTGAGAGACAGAAAACAAGAATTTGACAGAGATCATAATCAGGCAATATTAAAAGACTGAAAAAATTAGGACAGGAAGTGCTAATACAAAGCAATAAACAATCAAAATACATGCTAAGTGGCTTGACCCAAACTGGGTCATCAATAGGACATTGATTTCAAACAGATAGCTGAAAAAGACGTGAATCAAGGTGCTGCAATAGGCTCATTAAAACCACACCCCAACCTGACAGAAATTATGTTGTGAGAGAGCTGCGCAGAAAGAAATATCTGCAAACGTCAAAAAATTGAAGCCGCCACATAAATAACAGGCCAACGTTTCTCTGCAATAATGTAAGAGAAAAGAAGTCAGATAGAAACTAATTATTATTATTTCTGCTAAAGTCAGTTCTGCAGGCTGTTGAATAAGGTAGTTTTGGGCTTTTCACATGCACATTTTCTATTTTTGCTTCCTCTTAAAAAAAAAAATAAATAAAAAAAAAAACTATATACTTGTAGAATCTGTTATGTGGTAAAAATCAGATGCATATCATTGTTTCCTAAAACATAAAATCTTAGAGTTAACAGAAGCCGTAATTTATTTTGTACCATGTCTGTATTTCCTTCATGTGATTAACATTCTTCAGTTTTATTTTATTTACTCCCCACTAGATGGCAGCAGCCACTTGTTGTATTATTGGAGGTACAGACCATCCTGTGCTGAGAACAAAGCAGATTAGCATGCCTCTTTGTATTTCTCAACTTTCAGTTTTACACCCAGCAGTGGTTTAGTACAGCTATGCTGACTTAAAGTCAACACACTTCACTTTGTTGTCAGCTACTTTTTTTTCCTCTTATAGACAAGCTCATGGCAAGGCAGTTTAAGGAAATAGTGGTAAAAGAGGTCATTTCCTGTCGTTAAATATAGCTGTGCAGACAGTTTTACAGTGAAGAAGAATTGACTGTTTTCTCCTTTCTTATTTATAGGGTCAGAAACGCCACTCTACAGATGCTGGGGTCCAGACAGAACCAGCAACTGCTGCTACAGCATCTGAGAAAACCAAATGAACCCTTTAAGTTTCCCTGTACAGAACCCCCTGGCTGTCCCTTCCCTTCCCTTCCCTTGCTCTTACTTTGTCTTTGTGTCTGTCATATTTTGTCATCATATTAACTACATTTTTAGATGTTGCAATATGAAAAGGATTGCTTTTAAAATGATTCAGGAATGAATCGCATGTGGGTAAATGAGGAAAAGGAGAAACGGTGCCTATAAAATACTCTACCCAACCTCCTAAAATGGCATGTTTATGGTGATGTAAAAAAAAATGGTTCAAAACACTTCAGATCTATTCCCACCTTTAACACCAACTATAAGTTGTGCATCTCTGATCAAAGGCAACCCACAGTAGCTTAAAGCAAAAGCTGTAACAATAATAATAATAATAATGCACTCTTTCAAACAAGGTTTGTGCTTTTTCCACAGACTCAATATTAGCCGGGACAGACCTCTCATCATGTCACATACCTCTGATTAACGCAAATATAATTCAGCTGTTCTGTTCCTGACATCTCTTTAGTCACAGCTTCCAGTAACAGTCACACTCTCCTGGGGGTTTGAATTAAACAGAATTATGAGGCACTAGATGTACTATGGAATAAAGTTATTGTGGTATATTTGAAGAAAGTCAATCCATCATCATCAATTTGAAAAAATGTTGTGTAACAGTGAAGATAGTACGAAGATTTGGGCATCCCTCCAAGATTGATAAAAAGACAAATCTGACCAGGTTTATAGCAACATTAAATGAGCTGCAAGAATTTCTGTCAAGTACAACCTATACCTCACACAACACAGCAATCCCATATATTCGCAAAAGGTTTTTATTATTTAGAATTAACATCCAAGTCTGGCTGAAAGTTCCAAAAAACATTTAAAGTTTCCTAAAATTGTGCAGGAAACTATGACCAAACACCATCCACAGTGAAGCACAGTGGTGACAGCATCATACTTTGGGACTGTTTTTCTTCAACTGGAACAAGGGAGTTATGAACGATTTCACAAATTAGTTAATGATGTATCAAAACCTTCAGGGTTCTGGTAACAAACTAATCAACTTACTACTACTGGAATAAAGCATGAAAGTGAGCACACTTATGTAATATTTTAAGTTCATTATATAAAAATGTGCCTTCATTTGAGTTGTAGTTTCACTAAAGGTGGAAACATATCTGACATTAATTATTTGAGTTTTTTTGGGGTTATTTTACATCTCCCAAACCTGGCATTTGATATGGTTTGCAGGCTTTTTACATTCACCTTAAGGCAATGTGAAATGGAGATATTATGGCATCTTCACTGAAATTTATATTTTTGATCATAAAAACACATTGAGTAGTGTAGCAGTGTGAGTGAAATCTTTTCTACAAACTTTCACGACTAGTCTGACTTCTCCACGTTTTTGTTCTAACATATTGGGCTTTTGCAATATATAGTCATGTGTTTTGCTTTCAGTATCTAATTCCTGTGCTAAAATCAAAGTAGCGATGCCGTGTGGGTTATGTTATGACATCCAGGCACTTCTGTAACTGGAGTGGTTCCAACAAAATTGAAATGAAAGATATGTGGAATTATGGAGAGAAAAAAAATCAACAGCTTAATTAAACAGCATGTACAAGCACAAATATAAATATAGCGTAGCATTGAAATATTGGGTCATACAAGAAATGATGCCAAGGGAAAATCTTTGTTTTTCACTTGGAATCTGATTGTAAATACCAATGTTAACAAATACACTGGGGATGGCAAAGTCTTGTCCACATCTGTCCTTTTGCATCCTGTCATTTAGTCTAAGCCTTATTATAGTGTTCGTCATTTTTTTGTCGCATGTACAATTAACTTGCTTTTGATTGGTTACATGCATGTGTAACTTTTGTCATCTCAGAGACAATAAACATATTCATCCTTCACTGTTCTCCGACTGCTTTTACTATTGAGAAATCTTAAAAGGAATTACAGGGTGTCAACAGTTGTGAATCAGCAGGTTTGGCAAAAACCCAGACAAACAAGGTGTAGTACATGTGTCAGAGAATACATAGGAAAAACTGTGCCAAGCTCCTGAGTAATCCCCAATTTCTTTATATCTTCAGTAGAGTAATGCTGAATGTTCTGTCTTAAATCTGAATCATGATCACTAGTTCCACAGGTCTTTCAAAGTTTTTCTTTAGATATTCTGAGCTCAGATTCTTTTAATTTCTTTTTGTGATTGTTTTTCTTTTCTTTTTTAAACTGCTTAAAGCTGACCTGGGCAAACAGCATTCCACAGTCATTGGCCTTTGGTAAAGATGTGCAAAATATAAATCAGTGTTGAGACAGAATCATAATCTCACACACAAACAAAAATATGTGACAGCTAATATGACAGAAAGATTTTGTGTCTGGTAATTTTATCACATGACTTTGATCACTATCTTGTTTAAACTAGCAAAGTGGTCTTATTTTTATTTTCTGGCAAAAGCCATCAGATTGTTATTTAAAATAATGTCATGCACTAACTAGCATGATTCCTACAACTTTTAGAGGAGAAAAAGGCCCACAGCATCACAGATTCACCACCATGCTATTTTCAATATAAATTTCTGTTACCAGACTCAGCTGGAGTGTTTGGTGCTTAAAAGCACAGTTTTTGTTGTTGTTGTTGTTGTTTTACTAATCTCAGCAAAAATCTTACAGTTTTAGTTAAAATCTCGGCAAAATTTTGTAATTTCCACTTGCAGTTGGTAGGACATTACAGCTGGTAGGCATGTAAGGACTGTCATGGAGACAAGTGACTTCATGACAACAGAAAAAATTGACTACAGCATGTCACTTTCTGCTGTAAGTAAGCTTTGAATATTTTCTCATACCTCTCTCACTTTATGTGGAGATACAAAACAAACTTGAGCTCCTGTCAATACTTGTCTTGTTACTCTTCCAGTTGTTTTAAACTTTGTAGTTATTGCTTTAATCCTATATGAGCCATTTCCTGACTTATTAAGATAAACATTACCTAAAGAAGATTTAAAGCAATGTTCTCTTCCATTTTCTACTTTAAAGTGCTGAAACAAATGGGCCACTGTGTCACATCAGGAAACAGGAAGTCTCTGAAAGTTTGCTTCATTATAATTTTTTTCCACTGACTAAATAATCTAATTTTCAAGGTTGTATTTTTCTCCATTTTTAAATGTGACACTAAAATAATAAACTGATATAATATAGTTGTGCTTAAATTATTAAGAATAATTTCACTGCAATATATTTTGTTTAAGCATAAGGATCTGTTTTGTAACAGCCTACAGCAGGTAACTAAAACACATTTGAAATTCTTAATGCAGGTTTTTTTCTGACACAGACTGACTCAAATAAACACTGAGTAACCACTTTCATCTATTTGTTGCTACTATCTGTCTGTTTAATCTTAGAATTTAAAAATGCTTTTGCTGTCAAACTGTATTATGTGTACAGTAATGGTCAATTCTTGTTAAGACTTGAAGGAGTGAAGTCATTTTGAAATGCTTGACAATGGTGGGTAAAATGAAAATAGTGCAATATATGAGTAATATGGAAGCACAGCAACTTATCAGTATAATTGATACATAGGCCACTCAATACTTGTAGCGCTTTGAAAAAATATTCATGCTTGTTGAACTTTTTCAGTCTGTCATGTTAAAAGTAGAAACTGATAAAATAGAAGTAGAAAGTGCATAATTGTAGAAACGAAATATTTCCTTTTATATATTTTTTTATAACTGTTGTAATATTGTTTTCATACACAGGCCTCTGCAGAGCTATGCGACATATTGAGGGTTTTCTGTCTCAGCTGAAGAAAATAATTCCCTCAGCATGATGCTGCCGCTGAAGTGTTCCATTTTGATAATGAAATACCTCATTACCACAATGATATATGATATTATCATACATACAGATGGACTCCAAAAGTAGATGGTTTTGTTGGATTTTGTCACTGTAGACAAATGCATGCTAAACTTGCGAATGTTTTCATAAACCATGTATCATTGTCCACTTCACAATTATGCTACACTTGATGCCACTTTATCAAATCTTGAAATATGCTGAAGTCCCTAGTTGTAGCATGATGACATTAGAAAATTAATACTTTTGTAAGCATAACTTGGAGTGATTCATACAGATAAAATATTTAAAAAAATAAAAAGTGTCAGTGCTGTTGGATGTTACAGTTTTAGAAAAACCTGTAGTCTTTCTCTTTTGCATTTTCAGTTGCTTTTGAAGTGTCCAGCCATGTGTGCACTGGATTAAAATGACCCACCATTCACCCACCATTAACTGATGAGTCACAGCGCCTGAAGCCATCACTCACACTGCTCGTTTCTTATAAAGGAGGCACTCTCTTCTTCAACTGCTGTTTGTAACAAGAGATCATTTTCAATAGAGACCCAAACTAACTCATATGGTGGTGAAGGAAAAAGAAAAGTGAAGTACTTTGTGTTTTACACACAGGCTCTGTTGTATTTTCCCCTCTGAGAATTGTTTTAATTAACACCCAGTATGGCTTTATTTTTTTCCCAGCAGTTTGTCTCATGTGTGAAGAACTCATTTTCATTGGCAAAGCATCAGACAAATTTTAATTAGACAGAAGGAGAAGAAAGGGTGAAACTTCTGCGAGGTTTCAAAGAGTACTGAAATCAATAGTATAAGCAGAAAGAGTGCTGCCTTAGCTTGACGTGAAAAAGCTGATACATGCCTCAGTGATATGTGGGGCCATCAGTTCCTGATCTCTCCACTTCCTCGTGCAGTTGCCGAGAAGTCTCTTTTTTATGCCTTTGGTGTGTTGGCGGAGAGGAGGACAAAAGCGTGTTCCTGCATGCAAAGTTAGAGATAGAGAGGAGAAATTTTCAAGACAATTGGGAAAACAAATATCACTAGCTCTCTAATCCTAATTAAACTAAGATACTGACTTCTTTGTTCAAATACTTCACATATGAGAAAATGTTTCTAAACATCTCATAATCAGATGAATGCAACTAAACTAAACTAAACCGAATACACAATATCTTTATATTCTGTGGTTACCAGTCAGTGTAACTTCTTTAAAAATAGAAGCTTCACTATTTTATTGCTCTAAGTAAACAAATAGCTACTGTTGTCCACTTTCTTAGAACCACTTATGACAAGAAGAAATGACCCAGAGACATAAGTGTGTTAAATGTTACAGATGAATCAGAAAAGAACCTGAAATTCTTGTTGCAATCCTTTTCTCTCCCAAAAGAACATGTCACAGCACATTTTAGATTTAAAATATTCAAAGCTAAACATACCACAAGATCTTTGTAACTTTGTCCTCTAAGTAGATAGAGCGCTCATTAGAATGAAATTGTGCTTTGCTTGATTTATTTTTGAATTGGATCAGAGTCAATTGGAGAGTTTTAGCTGATGTTAAAACTGTCAACTGATTTTATGCATCTGAGTTTCTAACTAAATCTTCTTACAGAAGTTTAAGCAACAAAGAAGCAACCAAAAAAATCAACAAAATCACTAAACTAATTCAATTTAGTTTATTTATATCGTTCAAATTTTTAACAAAATCTCAAGGCACAAATCCATTCATACAGAAATGTATATAGTTAATTCAATCAAATACAGATTTAATGTCAGTTACTGGTGCTAGTTGTAAAATATAGCTGTCGAGTTTGTCTTGTTATTCCAATCCAAAGAAAAATATGCTAATTACATCTTTCATCACCATGATGAAAGAGTGGATGGTCACATGTCAGACCCAAGGCCGGAGGGCCAAATCTGGCTCGCCATTGTTTATTATGTGGCCATTCAGACTATAAAATGATACAATAACAGTTGTGCTTAAATTTTATAAATCAAATCAAAATAGTATATATATTTATCTTTAATCATCAAATACTAAGACAGCTGTTAACAGTTATTTTTAATTGTTTTAACAATTACTTAATTGTTAAAATTCAAATTAAACAATTGTTTAATTAATTGTTTGTTTGTTTTTCAATACATTCTGACTCGAATTGCCTTTTCAGAACATTCAGTATCTTGATATGGCCCAAAATGAAAATGAGTTTGACACTCCTGCTCTACTGCAGTGAGTCATTAACTGTGCAGCAGTCAATCATAATAAGCATGTGTGTAGTTGCAGTAGAAAGGAAAACTTCCCCTTATCAGGGGATTTGAGAAGACAGAGCAGGCACACATAAACACAGAGGAACTGATCCAGGAGTACTTCAAAAAGTAAAGCCTTACTGACAGCAGTAGCACATTTAGTGGCTTCATCAAGGAGTCAAACACCACTAACCAAATGAGCTCTGAGCCTGTAATAAAATCCATGCGATACAAAGTACATAACAGTTAGTCACAGCAGCTCCATCAGTTTCTTCATCCAGAAGAAAGGAGTTAAATACAGAAGACAGTCAAGTGTATCATTTAAGAAAGCATGGAGTTATTTGCAGCAACAGCTCAGCTGATGCCCCACACTAAGAAAGTGTCACAGCTAAACAGAACACTGGGCCAGATGTAGCTTCTATGAAGAGAAAAACAGAGAGAGATCATAAAGTTTATGACAGCAGAAACTGCAGACAATTCATAGTTGGAGTGTTGCAGTAGGAAATAGCAGAATGAGGGAAGTTTGTCCTCAGGTAGCCTAAGCCTACAGTAGCATAACTATAGTGATGATTCAGGAGTACCCTCATAACTATATTTATAACCTAAAGAAGATCTGCTTTCACTTCTACTTCTAGAAATATGACATATTTTAAAGAAAGATAACACCAGGCATATTTACATTCTTCGTACAAAGTCCAGCTTAAATACCATCCACAGTAAGTGACTGATTAAACAATTTGTTTTACTGAGGCCATGATCCAAAGAAGAAAACGCCCATGTTTTCTTAATTAAAAAAAAAAAAGCAAAATCCAGGTTGGATATTCTC